TTCATCTGCTGGTAAATCAAGGTAAATCAAGGTAAATCAAGGTTATATTGGTCTAAAAAGCACTTTGCTTTACAATGACCAAAGGATATTGGTGTGTGTGTGTATGTATACAGATAAACGGAATGATATAACATATATGTTCTATTGTTTGTAGTCTGCACCTCAAATGTTGATGAGGGAAGTTGGGTAAGGTCTTATGTATTCGTCAAGCGAATGTTTGAAAGTCTCGAGGTTACCACAATCCACAACAGATGTTGGTAGTTTGTTTCACGTGAGGGATACGCGGACTGAAAAAAGTAGCGCCGACAGTTAATGCGGGAACATGGAATGTCAACGGCCAATGGATTCCGTCGGGTCTGTCGGGCCAAATTAACTGTGAACAAATGTTTTAAAGGGTGATTAGGGGTGTTTATTATCTTGAACATCAGGATGAGGTCTCCTCGTATACGCCGATAAGTTAAATCAAACAAATCGAGTTTACGTAGCCTTTCACTGTAGGGAACGTTTCGGAGGCCAATGACCAGCTTGGTCGCGCGGTGGTAGATACGCTCTAGCAGTTGTGTATCCTTTTACAGCCATGGAGACCAGGCTTGGATCGCGTATTCCATTGTCGGCCGGAGATATGTGTTCATGATAATAGGGAGAATTTCAGGCGTAAAACGATAAAATATTCTCCCAAGCATCCCGAGCACTGCCGAGGTCTTGCGATATACTGATAGACAGTGTTTACTCGGCTTCAGGTTGCTAGAAATCCAGACGCCGAGGTCTTTTTCCTCAGCCACCCATTCCAGTTCATTGGATCCCAGTTTGTATGGGAAGTGGTAGCTCTTCCCCAGATTTATGAGTTTGCATTTCTGGAAATTCAGCGGCAGCCGGTTTTGGATGGACCATTCGTCGATTCTTTGCAGATCTTGCTGTAGCGCATCACAATCAGCCTTTCCATGAATTTCAGACCAGATTTTTATGTCATCAGCAAAAAGTACGGTTTTGCACTGCAGAAGTTTCGGCAGGTCATTCATGTATACCAGGAACAAAATTGGACCAAGAACCGAACCCTGAGGGACACCACTTGTGGCGGCAATTTTATCGGAAAACGCTCCATCGACACGAACTTGGACCGAACGGTCACTCAAATAGTCTTTCAGCCAGCTCAACAGATTTCCCGTCACGCCATACATTTCAAGTTTCCGAAGAACAGCAGTTTGATGAATGCTACAGGGACGTGAAAAATTACTAATAAAAAACACTTCACAGAAAGACGAAAAGCAGTTGGAAGTTACAGGATTTGCCTTCTGAAGATGACAAGGACAAAGACCAGTCAGAATGAAAATAAAAAGTTTATTTCTCCACTTTCTCACTTTACTTGGTGTTTTACGTGTGACCCAACTGAATCGCTAGTTCACGATAGTCTTCTACGACTAAACGCACTACACGAATCCACCCTTATCCAAGGCCATGATAACTCTATGAACACAGAAGAGGCTGCAGGATGTCTGAACAGGTTCAGTTCTGATGAAAATTTTTCCCATGTCCGACGTCAATTCGTATCTGTGAGATCCTGTCAAAAAACGGATTTACCTGTCATTCTTCAGCCTTAGTAGTCCACTGGACGATATTGTGGGCATTCCGCTGTTAAAGTTTGACTGGTGTTTAACCACAAATATGGCTAAAGATGGTTCTTCGCAATATCATCCCCTCAGCAAATTGAACGCATCTCACAACAATCCGATGGAGGAGAGTAAATAATGAGAATGATGGAAAAATGTCCACCAAACAGAAGAACAGCATCGTTTATAGAGGGGTCACCCTTATTGTCCATGGATCATCATGTGGTTTTGAGGATACCTAGAAGTGAGCTTTAGAGTAACCAAAATTATGAAGTGCCACTTATCAAGTCTTCTGTACATCTCTTGATCGGCTGTAGCTATCCGCAAATTGATCACCATAACATTTTGACTACTTGAGCTTCATTGAGTAGCCAAGACCATTAGAATGTCCTGAGTGAGAAACTAGCTGCTCGTGGTGGCCACAATCCCGGGAATGTAATTCCGCAAAATTACTTCGTGGTTAAAAAGGAAGCCTTCATTACTTCATCCGCCTTCATCACTTGCCTTCAGGGACACATCCGTGAGAAATCCGTTCTGAGTAGCTTCCCTCTCCTCCTAGTTCTAATCGTCTTCGTAGAGTCCAGTGGTTCCTCAAGCGGTCGTTTTATACTTGTAACCGTTAAACCATTTCGTTCTGTTTATGTGATAATCAGCTTCCCTCAGTTCCTTTTTAGAAGGTTAACCGGACGTTTCTGAACTTTCATATTGTCATGTTGTTCTACGGGAACAAATCAATTATAAAGTGCTTATCAAGTCGATCTTGCGGTGATATGAGTAGGACGCATACAGATTGGTTACACAGAAGGGTATGTTGGAATTTCTTCAGGTTCCTTCAGTAAACACCTCAACACTTGAATCCTCTTTAGATTTTAGCCAGAGATTAGCAAGCCTGTGGGACAACTCTCCGAAAGATTGCCTTGACACATTACAACCAGCTTCCAGAACCGCGTAGTTGTGAGCTGGCGCGAGACCTCTTAAACAACTTTCAGATTACTCATGGGGCCTACGACCTGCTTTGCCCCTCTTATGGCTCATCACAAACGAGAGACTCAGATGTGTCCCCTGTGAAAACCAAGTTGATATGCACTTGAGAGTATTTGTTGAAATCTGTTCAGTCTACTTCAAGAAGGACACAAGGTTGACAGGAAATGGGGGTATGTACCTTGCTGATGAATTCCAAGAAGGGCAAAACCGACTGTGAGCTGTCGAAAAGTTTTCACCAAACCTGTGAGTTTCTTTCACGAAAATACACTGCGATACCTCAAATATCGTATCAACTAAAGTATGAGACTGAATAATATCGTAACTGAGAGATTCAGCTGAGTCTTAGGTGAAAAAATGATGTACAAACGAGAGTATTTATCGAAAAATCTCAAACCACCTCCACAAGCAACTGACGTTATTTAGAACAATAATTTTAGCTTCCATGGAAGCCAAGAATTCAGCACTTCGAAGTGTTTAGAAAGGATTAGTACAGGTACTGAAGCACGCATGGTTAACTAGCTGGGTGCCTTCGCACATATATCGGGTTTATTCAACCCGAATTCCGCCTTTTATCAGGGCATTTCATTTGAATTTGAACTTGAAAGGTATCTTTAAAACTCTTGTTCCCTCTTGTAAAGATGTTTGAATGTAGTAAAGTTATGTTGAACAGTCACCTATAAAACAGACTGGATTCTCAAAGCTTAGGTACGCCTGGCTCGTTTTCACATCTTGGATCAATGGACATAACTGGTGATGGTCCTGAGAAACGAGGCTTATCGTTTATGGTGAGCAAAGTCCTGAGAAATTCACTCCATTTTAGCGCAATACATTCATTTGCGAACCAAGTTGGTTTTGCAAAGACTCACCTGGAATCCAGCTGAACCTCTCGTTTGTGATGTTCCACTCCGATTTCTCTATTATTTCGGCTTTCACCCAAAGCAAGCACTTCAAATTCAAGACAGTGATAACTGACCCTATACGTTGATTTGCGTGGATTTCATCTTCTACTTATATCCAAATAGCTTGTAACCTCGCAACACAACTGTCCCTTTTTTGTGAGATTTCGTCCTATAAGTAAAGCCAATCTATGCTGAAAAGCTGAAAAGCATAGATTGGCTTCAATTACAGGACGAAATCCCACAAAAATCCCAAATCTCCTCACACTACCAACAGCTGTCCCTAATAATGCCGCGTGCTTGTTCGCCTTAGTCAATTAGATAAGAAGGTCGTTTTCCAGCATATGACTTTACCTCCGTACTGACGAAATTCGCCCACTTTTCCGAAGCCATTAGGGATGCTAAAGTGCGCGCATATTTCAACTGTCTTGTTCTTCTCGACTATTTAGTCGCTTATCAAGCCAATACTCTTCACAGTTGAGGAGTTAAATGAGTCTTGTAGAGCAGCAAACATTCACCTGGGAAAAAGCAGTCCCTTTTTAAAAATAAGCATAGTCGTTCTTATGTCATCTAGTTTTTGTGGCTTCGGAAAGTTAAGCAAATATGTTGGAAAGTGGTCATCTTTCGGAGAAGCTACTGCCTCAACTATTCGAGCAGCTCGAAAAGCCACATGGCCCCATTGGAAAGGATGTCGTTATACGGAGGTTGTCATATAGATGCAATACTTAAAAAATATGTAATCGAGATTCACTTTAGGGCAGAATAAACTCCTACCTTTATTCTCTGGTGGAAAACCGAAATAATTGGAAAAGTAGAGTGGCTTTGTAGGATTGTGTTTCTAGCTCATCTCGCTTCCAGGTGACGCATCCGTCATTTTCTTGAAAACACTTCAAATAGGGCTGTAATACTCATCTTGTTTTTAAAAGAACTCAATTCATTATCAGTTCTTGTTAGGTCAAACTCACAAAGTAACAGTCGGTTGACGTAGGCGGTTCTGTGTCCTCAGTTCCTGGATGGGGACCCCGAGACGGTCCACATAAATGCTTAGAGACATTATCAGACATGGTCCAGTCGCGCCCTCAATGGCGCTCATGCATCGAAGCTATTGCCTTCAATGCATAGCTCCCTTCCCGATCCCCCCACTCAACAGCCCACTGACATTGCTGGCTTTATGCACCAGTTTATCAGCTCCCGCCTGCAATGCGCAGCTGCCTACCCCCCCCCCCCAAATTGTCGGTGAACGAAACTGCGGCAGCTACAACCACTGTACGACGAGTACGCGGTTTTTACAGCTGACAATGATGATGATGATGAATGCTTTTTCTTCCGAACGGTAGAGGGCATTATAGTAACTTTGCTACCGTTCAGTAGTAGTTGAGTTACGTCAACAGATCGTGGGTTCAGGAACACGCCTATGTTAATGCATTCTGAGGACGAGTCACCGAATCAGCCAATGGGAAAATACCATATGTAAATTCGAATAATTAAAATAAACTTGAAAAATTAGTTCAAATAGGCAAACAAAAGCGGAATACAAGTAAACAACTGATAGAGGATAAGAAACTCAGCAAACTAAAGAAGTGGACAAAAAATAAAGATTAAAAAAATGAACTGCACTGAGGACAGCAATGTTGGCTCCGCTGACGTGAAATTCATTCATATCGTATATGTAAAAATAGGAGTCACTTCGACAAATGTCCACCCTACAGATTACCCAATCTTTCCATTTCTTTGTCCAGTTTTTTCCAGGCAGCTCTGGTGAATGCTGTCAAAATTGAATCTGTTTCCGAGCTGTCCTTGCCAGACATTACCGCAGTAACTGATGGGATAACATTGCTAGTGGGTATGATTTCTTTGTGTGGGTAACCCGACTCGTCAATGGCTTCCATCGTATGGGTAGCGTTCAAATCGGTCGAGCCAAAGCGAGTAACTTGGTCTGAAATCATTTCGTTCGATGCAGAGTATTTTAGAGGAGGAGCGCTCAAGTGACCTGAAGTGACCATGAAGACTGCGTAGTGACTAAGATCATTGCAAAACATCGATCTAGCTTGCTGATCCAAACAGGGGCAACACTGACAGGGTGGTGGTGGGAGGTTGTAACAAGGCACTCTACGTCGGAAAGACCAGTAAGTAACCGGGCGATTCTGTTCCATCCCAGCATTTTTATCTTTCAACTGTGAGCACACGGAATGCGATCGCACCAGCAGCTCTCCATTAGCCCCTTCTCTTGAGCTGGGCGGTTTAATGTTGTCGGTACTTGAAGCACCACAGCGAACCGGATCGGCAGAAAGAGAGCGGTAGGTTCCCCGTGGTGTCTTACTTGAACCTGGTGTCATACACTGATGCGCCGCCTGTTTGAAAGAGTCAACCCTGGTGTATGGTTGAGGATGGTGTGGACCCTGGTACACATCCGGTTCGACGGAGGCGCATCTTCGAAAGCGGTATCGGACTTTAGGCAACTGTGTCATTTTCTCAACCTCCTGCTCGTCTTGCAAATGTGGTGGAGGTGGAAGGTTGGAATTCTGTGCATTCTTATCCGTATTGTTACCACAAGCAGTCTGTCTGTCACCGCTGCATAGACCTACTGAGGACGTACAGCTACATTGTTTGGAGTGAAATCCAGGAGAAAACGCATGCTGTCCCAATTTAACAGCCTGATAACAAGAAAGACAATCAGGATGCAAGTACGCACATGGTGTGATCCTCGGGTAAAAGTGTATGTTGGATTGATTGTGGTAATCCGGTGGCTTCTTGGTGTTATGTTCTGTCCTGGATAATTGTTCATTATTCATATGTTGGGTTCCAGTATGAGGATGTGAGTGAGTGGTTGTGTTCCCGGTAAACTCCCTTGGCCACGGTGGCATCGCCGGTGGATTGGGCATCGGGTGGGTCATAGGGAAAGGAAAGGTTGTCACGTTAATTCGACTGACGCTCGTTGGAGGTGGTGGTGGACCATAGGAATATAGTGGAAAAGGGGGTGGTCTGTTGATGCTAGAAAAGGCACCCTCCCAGGGATTCGGCGGAAATGCAGGAAACTGTGGAAACGGTGGCGGGGGAAGAAATGACTCCAATGGTGACGGCTGTCGCTGCTCTGAAGTGTTTGTTTGTGGCTGCGCAGTTGTGAAATATAAGCCTCTCTGCTGTGGTTGAGCGGAATCTAGAGAACGAGAAAATAGGAAATACGTTTGATGGAGAAGTGATAGTTTGTGCAAAAACGATGCAGGGTCTAAACAACGATAGAGCTTGTTCACCCACCCTAACATACAAAAATCCCTCGGCCGACACCCAACAGAGATTTATCTTGGCCCAGCGGATTGGTTCGCCTTTCGCCTTAAATCTCGACCAACCTCGGAACCTAGTCACTTGGCCTGACGAAGCTTTTGTGTCAAAAGCGAAAAGTTGTCCAGCAATAAACCTACCGATTGTCACCAAACTTTTCCGAAAACCATATAGCTTCTTCAAGAAAAACGAACAAATACAAATGTGTTGACACCAGTTAACACATTTACCTACTGCCAATGAGGGCTCCATCCCAAATAAATTAGGTTCAATCGCAATGTATATATCCTACTATTTTACCAAGTTGGGGTACCTCACCGAACCCCCTTCAATGAGGGCTCCATCCCAAATAAATTAGGTTCAATCGCAATGTATATATCCTACTATTTTACCAAGTTGGGGTACCTCAACCGAACCCCCTTCCTCGGCCTGGGTAACCGGGAAGTATCATTTGCCCGCGCAGTTTAGCGTCCGCCGATGTCCCTTCCCAACCCCTTCCCTGATGACACAATCCGCATACTGACAACTGTCGATGAGTATATGCTTTCAAGACACTAGTTAAAATGAGTGGGTAGGGATGAAATTGTACAGACACACAGTAAAGGGCAATAATGAACTCACATCACTCGTGGTGATACGTTCCAACTGATACCCCTATCAAAACACTCAGTTATCAACAATGAAACAGAAAGCGAGGCTGATTTCACTTATGTGCTGAAACTTCGAAAGGACTACTGTTTATCAAGTGAGTCAGAACCCTTCTAAAGGAACGAAAAGACGATCAAATAAAACGAAATTCTGTTCCCAGCTGTACCAGAATCTTGGCTGTTCTGGGCCACATCGTTAAGATTTCTTCAGAATAAGAAAAAGATCTTCAGCGATCAAGGTGCAAACCTACTAACCGGACGGCTCCTAGTTCGAACCCAGCCGCTGCTTCTTGACTGCCTGTCTAGGTTTAGACAACCTGGAAGTATCTGTCTTCGTGTTTCCTTGCAACTTAACGATTGCTTTTATTACTTTATTGCCATTGGGTTACGAGTGTGAGTAATGAACTTAGCCACAGTCCCGTGCCTGTCTGACCGATTGCCGCACTTCACCTGCTAGAAGAAGTCATGAAATGGGTTCCCATGATATCTAAGGTTTGGGAGGATAGACTCACAACCGGACGGCAGCTTTGGTCAAATTAGTTGGCGCTACCGAGGCCCCGATGTGTGAAGCTTAGGGTGGTTAGTCAAATTCACATACACTGAGAAGTCTTAAAAACTGTGACCAGCTTTGATCGCCGTTGGTTGCACGAAACCGGTTCCCAGGTGTGTGTGCGTGTATACACGACTCTATCGGTAGTTTAAAATAAGATAATGGGGAAGAATCATGAGATCCCTGTGTACTCTTTCAGTGGAGATTTCAGCGATGTAGTTATGTTAGTCCTACCAATTCGGTCATCTTCAAATGAGAGCAACTGGAGTGTTCGTAAATTAGGTATTTGGTCAAAGATACTGGGATTTCGGGTTCACCTGACCGCGTTCATTACATGTTCAAGATACAGTTCCGTTTACTAAAACGACAACAAATACGACAAACATTGATCCCAAATCTTACTGAGTTTCTATTACTGTGACGGCAAGACGTATATGGGACTACAGGTATCACGTCTTGCAGAATCACCTGATCAAATTATGAGGTTAAAGTTCACTTGAAAAAAGACGCGTTTAAGGAAACTCAACGTCAAAAAGCTCCCAACATTAACTAATACTGGCGCCTCAATAAAATGAAACTTTCCTTATCACGATACTAACCGTAATTCATCATTACTTAAAATCATTCTCACCAAACGGATTTAGGGTGTGGTTTCGAGTTCAGTTCTACCTATCCCTCAAGCTTGTGCTGAACTACCAACCCATCGATCCTAACCACAAACGGGAATAGTACAGCGTATATCCCACTCACTTGTTAAGTTAGACTCCACAAAAACTGCTCGGTATCCACCCTGGTCCACAGGATTCTGTGTGTCTGACTGGGTAAACCAAGAAGACGCAATTGGCTGTTGTGACAGGGGTATGTCAGGATCAATTGCTCTCCAGCCGTGATCTGTCGTGTACAGGTACACGTGCACAGGTGAACGCGGTGTGTTAGAACGAGTTGGGTTATCCGGATCGTTGGTCATGTTTTACCAATCGGAGAAGCGACTAGAGATGCCAGCGGAGCCAACTCTACATGCGAAACCGGGATTATTGATCACATTGTTTGAATCTAGCTAAGTGAACGGACCACGTGCCAGACAAATAGTCAGGAAAAACTCCTCACTAAAGTTATGTATGATTAAAGATAATATTGTGCCATGGTTTTCAAAGAATCCCCCTTTCTGTTGATGTTGTATCCCTTAGGCAGGATGCAACGCATCAGAAACATGTTGCTTATCAGTGTCAGCGTGAAAGTAAAAAAAAACACGAGAGTGGTAGATTTCAACATCTTGTCGGATGTTGTGTCAATAATCAGCAATATTCAGTCAACCTGAGCGGTTCGTGCTCATACAAACCTACGGACTCACTCATACACTGATACAAAAACGAGAGTGGAAGTGAACGGAGATAAGTTACGACGACACATTACCTCCCCCTTTTTGGAAGTTGAAGAAAATGCAGCAGATGGAAACGTAACATAGTCTGTTGATATGGATGTAATACACTTCTCATAAGTTGCTGAAGGTGCTCATACAAACCTACGGACTCACTCATACACTGATACAAAAACGAGAGTGGAAGTGAACGGAGATAAGTTACGACGACACATTACCTCCCCCTTTTTGGAAGTTGAAGAAAATGCAGCAGATGGAAACGTAACATAGTCTGTTGATATGGATGTAATACACTTCTCATAAGGTTGCTGAAGATTCTTCGACAGCTCACGACTGATTTCGCTCTTCTTGGGGCTCATCAGGTAGGCGCAGTCCCCTAGTTTCCATCAACATTATGTTCTACTTGAACCCAAATTGAACTGATTGCGACAAATGCACCCATTTGCAAATCAATTTGGTTTCGCCGGAGACTCACCTGGAACCCAGCTGAATGTCTCGCTTATGATGTTTCTAAGCAACTGGATGTGTTGCACCAGGCCGCCTCTATACACGTATCGTAATATCTTGAATATCGTACCAACTGAAACATGAGGTGGCCTGGTGAAGCATGTTCACTTGCTTGGGAACACCGTAAACGAGAGATTCAGCTGAGTTCTAGAAGCACCGCGAATTTCACTGATCTAGCCGATTTTAGTGACACTTGTCACAGAGTCATAATTTCACCCTTTGGATTCGTGAAGTCTCCAAAGGGCTCAAACACTCAACGAACGACGCTATCCCCAGAAGACGTTTACTATGAACTGAACGAGTGCTGCTGTGCGTTATAAATTATTCATTAACCACCTCCAATGGTGTACTCCAATTTGCCAACAAGCGTGCGTCTACCACGAATTTAGCCTCTATCACAGATTTCTGAAATATTAGAATATCAAAACAAAGTGTTCCGAGGCATGCATTACTGATTTTCGGGGTGGTTTTGATCCACTCAACTGAGGACTACAGCTACATCATCTTTCCTGGATAGGCATCTAAAGACCCCCGCTTCTGCCATTACTATCGCCTTGTCAACTGAAATCACTGCGTTCCGGTTGATGGGACGTCGCAAAAGACTCTTGCCCAACGAATTAGGTGTGCCCCAAGGCGTCGTTCTATCCCGTTTGCCATCCCTGTCTAAACATACCCTTTAAAACATGGCGAATGGCGCACCTCATTAAGATGTGCAGATGACATCACTGTTCGCAGAGCATGCTCCACACTACCGAACTCCTACGTGTTTGAGCAGGATATTAGGGCCATGTGTCAGCGGACACTAGACAACCCATTCAAACGCATCAACATTGTGTTCACATTCAGGCGGATCGGACCTATTGAGACGCTTCGCCTATTGTGACCTCAGTTACAATCAACAATTACTCACTACTTCAAACCAGTTGTGTAAAGTATCTGGACGTTACCATCTTCTCCTCTTAAAGTGACATAAACTCGTTGACAGTCACCCTTAAAATTATGAGTTAATTCATACAGTGTCTCTATTATCCACATGCCAATAAGTCAAAATTGGACGCCTGTAATCGCGTTGCTAAGTATCTTGTGTCGTTCACTTGTCGTCCTCAGCCAAAAACGGCTATACTGTTATCAAGCAGTGCATTCTACTTTCGTCAGCATCTCACACCATTTCCTTTAGGTTACTGATAGACAGCTTAACTGAGAGACATACGAAAGCCTGTACAAATCTGGGTAAAATACCTGATGAGGTTTCCACACCTTATATTCAGATACAACCAAACATCTCCCAGAAAGCCATAGCGCAGCAGTGGTGTGCATTTATGCAGAGCATGAAAATACAAAAACTGTGTGATTACTTATCTCCCTCAGTTGATGACCTCATTGTGATCCTTAGAAACCCAACTTTTAGAACTGATACTGGCATGATTTTCTCTCCACTTAAAAGCTTCTTCTTCCCGCCAAGTCCTTCCTGTTCCGCCTCCCAGGTTACTAGTGGTCTTTTCCTTATTTTTCGTTTATCTGCACGAACATCTCTGTATTCTGAGTAAAATAGTTTGTCTGGAAGCTAGCCAACAACAGCAAATAAGGAAAACCTCTTGTTTTAATAGTGGTTAATTAACCAGAGGATTTGTTTATAGGAATCTGCAACTGTCACGTTTTTCAGTCTATACAGTACATTTTTGGGCTGTTGTGTTATGCTTGTACTCTGTGTATGATGTCTGCAATTCCACAGTACTTTGCCATCAGCATTCTGTGGAGCAACGATAGGGGGTCCACAGCTCAGACTATTCCAAGGGCATCGATTTTCCGTCACCAGGCAACTCGGCGAAGGTGAGCCTAACCTTTTCGCGCAATCCGAAGAGCAGTTTGCGACATTTTATGAAAACAGGGCTCCCAGTAGCTTCTAATTGGACAGGTGGGTTGAACGTTCAGCCAGCATTCTCAGAAGACTTCATCACGTAACTGGAACCAATCTATATCGACAGCCGAAGAGCACTTTACAACTGTTTCTGCCTTATTTGGAAAGCTGCTCAAACAGCAAATGTGGAGACAATGCATGGTCAGATTTCTAATGCTAGCATGCGACCCTTGACATCAGCATGCGAAAGAGTAAAAAGAGTAGCTGGTAGCACGATCGATAAATTTGTTCTTTAAGCTGCTACCAGCTTACTGGGGTGGAACTGAACCCCGAACCAAGGTTAGAAGCCGTAAACATAGACTCCAAGTAATTACAGTCTGTCTTGGGTGCAGCAAGTGTTTTCTCTTATGTGATAGGATGACAAACTCGTTTTGTTGCTATCGAAAAGATAGCCTCATCGATGTTACAAAGCCGATTTCTGTAAGTAGGAACGTGATTGGATAACTATCCCGACTTATATCTGGAAGTTCCTTCCTGCTTGATGCTGTGGATTACGAACGATGCTCAGCATCGCCGTTGCTTCGAAGCTGTATAACAATCGTGGGCTGGTGTGAAGAACCAGGTTTTCAGGAAGAGATTCTTAGCCCGTGAAATCTATCTTTACTGCCAGACATAAAATAAGCATTATTCGACTTTGATGATGACCAACGCATGTTGCATTACTTGAATAGTACAAAGGTGCAAGTTTGTATCAGACGGCATTCACCGAAATAGGGAGTGTATGACGGCCTGGGTCAGTGTCGCACCCATCGGTTACATAAAATTCAATCTCAAAAACCTGTAAATCCAGCAGATCCGAACAAGTGAGTTAGGTTTTGCTGTGAGTCAAGTATGCACGTACTGTTTTCACCGACTTAGTTAATATCCATGAATTCGCACGATTTTGCTGGGAAAACATTTTCATTTCATTACACCCTAAAAAAAACCCACGCTAGCCCTGGGTTGCCCCAAACCGAAAGGTATGCTATATCCTTTCGCGCACTGCTGAATTAACAGGCGAAAGTGATGATCCAGTGAGGACAATGAGTGCGAGAGTTTGGAGGAGGAAGTGGTTTCAACATTTTTATTCATCTACCTTACCGGATAATTTTCACAATTGATAGGGCCCGAAATAATAGTTGCTAACACAAATGTCTGGGATTGGATAACATGCGGACCAATCCTCAGCTTCATTCTGCAAGTCTGGTTCGAAATATCTACCAAAATAAAAACATACTTTCATTCGCCTTGAAGTATGCTACAAGCGTTGCTTCTTGTATTACGAGGTACAAATTGATGTCTCCTTTTAGTTACATTATTGCCTTCACTCAGCCAGCCCACAGTCGCACACAAAATGGGGTTACACACTCTGAATTATTGACTATTCAGGATACTGAGAAACGCACAGTGAACAATGGATCTCAGCGCCTATTTGGCGCACCGCATTGGTTAGAATTCCGTTTGGGTTGCTACATCGGAATGATGGTTCGTTACTCAGCCGAACAATCAGATACTTTGTTCTGACAATAAATGGTGATTGTCAATAACTAGCCACTGAGCTCAGCTGCAATCCGTCTTTCATGAAGTATGCCTGATGAAGACAAACGTAAAATCCAAATACTGAGCGTCCATCCAATGGAATAAAGATGCCGTCAGCGCACTGCATAGTTACTTAATGAAGTACGAGCGATTCATTACAGTCCCAGTTGAATCTTCCGTCTGCGCATGACTGACTTTCCAACTTCAGGTACTGTCTAGATGACGAAGGCCAACTTAAATGGTGAGGCAGGTGCGAACGCAGCTTGCAAATCCAGTTTATCTGTGCCATATTAGCTGAAGGACCTCCATGTCGAGTACACGCACCACAGGTACACGACGAAGGATGTACTCTTCATCAAATGAAATGAAGGCATTCAGTCAACCGGTGGTCTAGGAGCTCAACATATCTTCTATAAGAACTCACAGGTGGATGATCAACGCATCCAAGCAATTAACTCACGTGAAAATAGTGGTCTCCTCACAGAGCACATATTTTTGTTTGACATATATGATTTAGGATTAGGTGAACAGATGCAAGTAAACAACCTGCTCAACCATCCCGAGCATCATTCTGGAAAATGGTCTGGTTGTGCGGCTATTTTCTTATTAGTCTGAGGATTAACAGGACAGTCTTGATGATGATAAAGCAGAGTACGCATCTGACCCATAGTGCCACCGCTAACCAGAATGGCGCCAATGAAAACACATTCACATTCAAGCTACGCGGGTAATCTGACTGAGGTTGAGCATGCAGGCTCAATGTCTCTGCTTTGTCGAGCACGGATGTGCACTAGGTTCAGTCGTTAAATGATCTACATTTGAATTAACAGTGCATGGGTCGCGGCCTTACCTGTGCCCGTTCTGCTTAGGTGACCTATCTAGCAAACCCTAATTCATGCCCAACGCCTGAGCTTTGTTCAGCCACACTGAGCTAATGAAGGTCGACTGCAGTCACCACACGGTTATGTCTTGGTTTCTGACCGCTCTGGTCTCCGTATCCTCATACGAGCGACCTGTGTACCACACACATAAAGAAACCATCTGAGCCCAATCCCCCGTACGGCCACGCCTTGGTTTCTGACCACCTTGGCCTCCGTATCCTCATATAAGCGATGTCCTAGGGGTAGTCGCGAAACAAAGAATTTACCGATGCATCAGCAACCTGAACTGAACCCCTCCAGCTTTTCATGACATTGGCTCCCAGGAGTTTTGGTAGGCCTAGGCAGGAAACTTACTAGCCGTTTACAAACGATCGTCCCGGTGATTCGAACATTCCGTTCTAGTGATGGAACGATAGTATAAACCTGCCGTCTCGTGCACACCTACTGCCTTCCAAAAGATCTGCAGGATGCCGGTCGGTGAACAGCTTCCTTTCCGTGACGTAACACACTATTTATAAGGTTTTTGAGAACTCTTCGTCAGCCCACTACCAGTGTACACCTCATTGAGCCTCATCAGGTAGGCGTAATCACTGAGTTTCCATCAATTTTATTCTCCTGTAGCATCAAACTGTAAGCGATTCGTGAAACATCCACGTTTGAGAAGTGAATTGGTTTTAACCGGAGACTCCAGTGCAAACTTACTGAAAAACCCTCTTATGATATCCTTCAATAAAAGCCACTTCGTTTCAGTTAGCACAGCGTTTGAGGTATCGAAGTCAATTTTATCGACATGGGACAATAGGTATAAGGTCACTGAAAAATCACCAACGGCCCCCTGCCGTTCTTCCCTTCTTGAGGTTCATCAGTAGTCGCAACCTTGTAAGTGATGTGTTAGGAAAAACACATTTCGATATCTCGAATAACGTGGCAACTGAAACATGAAGCAGCTCTCGTGTAGGGGACTTTCGATGGTGCGCCGGCTGCTTGAACTGCCTGTTTGACTCGAAAGTCTCACCCAAAGGCCGTGGGACAATACAGGGTTGAATTCCGAGATCCTATCCGTGACTTATGACTAAACAGTCGGACCCGTAAGGCGACGGCTTTTCTCGGGCACCAACCATGAAGCCAACAGCTCAAAAGGAGAACTTGCTCAGCTCAATAGAGGATATAAACTCTTGATTCCTAACGATGAAGGTGCACACAGATAGGTTTGGAATCGCAACCGACTCGTATCCGACCGTACTGAACAATACACCAGCAGTTACAGATAATGGAATTGTGCGAACTTACGATCGGCCTTTCCGAATTCATCCTCCAGGAAACAATTGGGTTCCAGTTAGTCAATTGTGCAAAGACGGCAGCACTGAAGCCTAATCACGTCTCTGTGGTGGACGCACTGAAATTTTTGTTATGATTTTTCCACGCTAGCATAGTTGCCAGATTGGAGAGAAAAGAAAGTAAAATTAGGAAGTGGGATTGAGAGCACTGAACTAATAATCACGGGCTCTTACGCTATACATGTCGTCGGCCCATAGACTGAACTCGTAGTCAGAATTCATCACTGTACGGTGGTTACGTCGCTGCACTTTTGCCATTAACGAGGATAACGAGACCCACTCGACCCTTTCTCACTTAGGATCAATGAAATACTCTAATGTGAACAATCGGCTCTATGTACAAAAATAGCAGAGCACGTCAGAAAGTCAGGAGAGTAGTCTGTCTATTCAAAAGGACTATCCGAGGTGGCCTGCTGGGACGGTAATTCTTCGACAAGCGGACGATTTCTTACATTATGATCGGTGCATTCATCGGAGTCGGACTCATCTAGATGCGCGTCATGAACCGACGATATTGAGCTGTCCTCGCCAACGGAAGCAGCGTCCGAACCGTCGTCAGATTCATTATCACAGTCTGCTTGCCGCAAAGCCGAACAAGAATTTGTTACTTGGGGCGATGAAGGAAGATACACATTCTGCGGAGAAAGACAATGAAAAGAGTAATACTGAGGTGAACCAGATGACGTTTGACAGTCGTCTAAAACCAGTAAAATACGAATGACTGATTGAGATCAACCGAGAGCGACCACTGACTGCACCGCTGGAGTACATCCGGTCTGAAAAATAGACAGTACGATTTCCTTCAATCACGCAAATCTGACTAAGTTTGGAAAAAGCACCTACTGACAAGTCTATCCATTTTCAGTCCATCAACCCTAAATTTGTGACGTCGAGTAACGTGTACTGCACAATTTACTACACAAGAATAGCGCACTTGCATTCATGAATTGGCCAGGAGTGTTCCAATTAACTAGTTCACCCATGTCAAAGACATCATGAAAAAGCGCTCCTCGCATGTCACGCAACTTGAAACTGAGCTCTTGTACCTGCTCCTATAGACCTGAAACCCTGAAACACAATGGTGTCGGCACCGCCCAACCCACAATCGACTTTAGAGCTTCGCCATTTCCGGCCATCTGGTTAGGATATCAGTTTTCAACGACCAAATGTAGGCGGATCGGTAAAGATATACATCGGGATATTTCACTCTCTACTTCCACGTCTTTCTTAAGATCTGACCTTATGGACTACCTTGCGTTGCGATTTTTCGTTTGTTTTATGAAAGCAAAAATCGTTCAGCTGTAGCAACCTTCCGATGCCTAACTGCCATGTCACCAGAAGGAAGCACGAGGGCTGGAATACTGCCAAGTTGCCGAAGCCTTGACAGGGGAAACAGTGAGGCAGAGGTCGAGTTCGAACCACGGACCTTCCGGTCAGTGAATTCGGGCTCTTTTCGCTCCTTTTATGAAAAGGATTTTCAGTTCATTGCATAGGTGTAGCTAGGTGCCATGCTAGGGCTCCATAACATAAAATTTGACCATTTTTGTTGTCGTTTTGGATGGACAATAAAATAGAAAACTATGAACGCCTTGTCAATAGTATTAGTTATTCATGGACCTGAAAAACTGGATGATGATATTTTTCTGACCAATGCCGATCCTGGTCATAGTTTTATACTTCTTTCCTTATTTGATTCTTCCTCCAAGAAGATACGGGGCTTCACCATGCAAAGTTTTATGAGTAGTTTGTGGAATTCGTCCTAATTCTTTCTACTGGAAGTCTGGAGCAACATCAAACGAACTTGACAATGCGCGCTGTTTGGTTGCCAGTTTAATCCCCAATATTGTCAACTGGATTTCCAACGCTCCGTCACTTATCAAGGTGAAATAACGCGAACGGATGCCGATGTCCGTCCTTAAGGTCGATCGTTCGGTAAAAAATGACCTTGCAGTCGACTCGGTACATAATCCGGTTGCTGAACTGTGCACGTTCTTCGTACTAAGTGTCTGCTGTTCTGCATTCGACGGATGGCCTTGGCATTCTGCCATCCAATTTCAGATGAGTAATACCAAACGTCGCATAGGCAACGGTGATAGCAAAAGGGCACACTCTCGATTCAGAATGAAAAGCGCTAGGGCTTCTCAAATGGTAACGGAAAGCAGTGTCAGAAGTATGAACGTATTATATCGAATGCCGATGGTTAGTAAGCACTGTCCTATACACATGGCTACGATGACTGATAGCCGAAAATAGGACGTTCGACATCAATCACCCAGCTCCTGAATTTCCTTGGACTGTTGCTGCGAAGCATGCATACAACACAGGGTTGAAAGACAATATAATGCTTTTAAGTATTCCTTGCGTTGGTACTTCGGAGACGTGAATCTGGGAGATACAAATGTCCTAAATGCGCTCCACCATAAGAGACAAAATTCAAAATGACTTGTGTGGAATTCCATCCAGGCGTGCCTCTTACGTCCGAATTGATTACAAGATTCAAAAACAGAACACGCAACTAATACGGCTGCGCATCAGCCTACTGCGCAGTGGAACAATCATGTGGAACAGAGCCGTGCGACTATGCCCCCACGTCGGAATGACGTCCGATTTCGTCATGTGCCGGAGAAAGGTCAAATAAGGACACAGAATGTTCACACCCACTCCATGGCCAAGGCATCCCGTACACAAGCGCACAGACGGCCATCTACGATCGATCGAGACAAAGGAACAACCGCCCGAGGACCAGTGTGGATGTGTGGGAGACACACTGGTTGGTTGACAGCGGATCGACCGTCAAATACGGTGACAAGTGAATCATATATATAGAAGTTTGTAATTGCGTTAATACACAGTTCCTTCAGGTCGTCTTCTTGTCTTCTGACTATAACCCAGTAGCGTCAGGGCATAGTCGCACGGCTCTGTTCCACATGATTGTTCCGCTGCGCAGTAGGCTGATGCGCAGCCGTATTAGCAACCTTGAGGAATCAAGTGACCCTTGTCTGAATGTCTTACAAAACACGTTTGGCCACTTGAATACACTTCGAAATCAACATACTGGGAGCACATAATCATTATGCATATCGGAATGTGACTTCCGGGAGCACTGACAGTTTTTATCGCGTTCTAGATACAGACGGGCTATAAAGTAACCTTGTGGCTCGATCTTCTATCGGCCACCGCACTGTCTGTGAAGAACGAGCAAGAGATCATGGATATTCTAACGAACTGAGCTGCTGAGGCTGGCCAATTCAGCTGGTTTAAAATCCACAGAATGGATGAGCTGCAGCAGTTGACTGGCTCTTTACCTTGAGAAATTTAACATGAAGATAAAGAGAAAGTTAAATTTGCCAACAGGAAGTAGGAATAATTTGTAGTGTGCTTGGGAGGATAAATGCTCCTTTTCTTCTCTGAGCCATGCATCATACTCTGATACGCTAGCTATGACCCACAACAATGAAATCGTGTTTAGTAGTGCCATCATGTGATGCATCATTATACTGGGATTCAAGATACCGCAACGCAACGGAAGTCGGGATGCGGCACCAGTAGACCATCTTCACATCGAACAATCATGAACTGAGCAGATGAGTATTGTGCACATTTGTTTGCCCGCGTATGTCTATAAGGGAAATGATGCTATGTATGCCAGCACATGAGAGTTAGCCAAACAAATTTCGCAATCCAAAACTTCAGAAACACAACCCGAAGGGAGAATTGTTCCAATCCGAAGGTCGCTTTCCCAGTTTAGACTCACCAGCTCAATGGCTCTACCGTCCGCAGCACAACCTTCGAGTGAACAGGGAGGTACACGTTCGAATTCAGAGAGAAGATTTGAAACTCTGGAAAGTACTGAAAGAAAAGGCTCACAACGAGGTAAGAATGCCTACAAGAGCGGGTTTTTACTAGATCCGGATCAGGAAGATGAACTATTTGAAGATCTTTGAGACGCAGAGGAGATGGCACGGAAAAACCGTTCGATTTCATTGCATTCCAGTTGACTGATACACGTCTGGAAAGAGAAAGATGTACGTCATGCAAGCTAGTTCTCAGAATAAGGACCTATTCAAACTCTATATTCCTTGCAAATGAAGGTGTATTGACCTTCTTATTGAATCCCTACATCGTACTAACTATACCCAAATGTTAAATGGTTCAACTGCTGATGAGTGGCATTTGCTAGTTGGACCCCAGATTATGATTCGTACAGCCTCCTGAGAAAACACTCCATGAAAATTAAAGATCATTCACAGTAAAAGAGAGCTCATTTGTAGGCTTTAAATTCGGAAAATACTTTTGCTTGTCGCTTTCTCCCTGTAATAGTACTTATTCATTCGAAACAGCCAAGCAGGAGACTTCCTGATGAAACGACACTGTTGATGAGTAAGATCGTCTAACCAAGGACCATTTTGTAGGTTCAAACAAATGGACAAATGATAAATGCAGAACTATTTTCATTGACGTGCGTGTACTGACTGACCGACGGAAGAAGTGGAAGCATTTCCTAAGCTCCCTACAGTGCCGTCACTTTTTACTATTTCCCGGGCACGCAAAAGTGAGGTTAACTAAAACACTCAGTGAATGCTTATCATGTGTTAAATTAATGTAAAGGCGACAGACTTGATTATCACTTGTAAAATGACGCCGACGTGAAGCGGCCAGGTATCCGTGTTAGCAAAACTAGTGTTACTGAATTTAAAGAAACGGTAAATGGCATACGCCCATCTTTCAGTTGCTAACAAGGTAGCAGCCGCAATGCTCCTGTTCTTCTGATCTCGCGCGTAATTACCTCTCACAAGAGGAAAGTATTTGCACCGTGCACCTTAGAGAAGCAGTGGATAGAATCATGGTTATCAAAGCTCTTCGGCGTCAGCTTCTTGCTTGCTTAGGCCACAGAAGAAGACGGATTGAGGGGCCGCATCACTGAGAACTAATATAACTCGATGACAGCTTAATAGCCAATCGACAATCTGTAAGTGACCCAGAGAAAGAACACCTCACGAGATGAGTAGAAATTCCATCTGTGGAGTCGTCATTAGGGGAGCCAGTCAGGGCGTGATCGCGTAATGTGGATTCCATGACTGAAGGATGCCATATTGTTGATCAGCCGCTCGTGACCAGAAGGTGGCAGGTTCGAAACTCCCTAGAGTATCGTGAGATGCGCACTGCTGGTGATTCCCATTGAGGACGAAACAGCTGAACAGTGTCTCTCAGCTGTTTAGCATAGAATGGCTCTACTTCAAGGACCAAACCCAACGAAAAATCCCACATCTCTTCACACTATCAACTATCGTCCCACGAAGTTTGAATAGCTTGTGGCTCGTTCCAAACACCATCATCATTAGTGACAGCAACACCAGATGAGAAATTGGTGTTTCGCTGTCGTACAATCGTGTCAATTTGTTTAAATAAAGCCAAAGAATGAAAAAACGGGGCAGGGAGATCTGGGGCTGGTCTATAACGGGCATCAGAAGTACCTACGCCTGCAGCACTCAGTCACACGACCTGAATAGAATCCGGTAGTCTACACGACACTGATATAGGTTAGCAATCACATCGCTCAATGTCTATAGCCAATCACGGTAAGGGTCACTTGGACCCCACGCTTGAAGACGAACATCCTTCATCCCTTTCCACCGCGTCAAACTATGCCAACTCTGGGCTTCCGCCACACAGGAAACAGCGTTCGTTTTAGCAGCTGGCAACTCCGCATGTGTAACATGGTCTAGTCACCTTAGTTTGCAGTACTGGACATGTTAATTGAGTAAACTATCTACTGCTTCAACAAGAACGTTTCCTTGTCAGTTCACTGAGAATTCGTTGATTTCGGCCGATTCCAGATATAGTGCTGAGACATTGGTCGTCGGAGAATTGAATATAACTCGAATCCTTCACGCGAAGTGGTCAACTCTTACAGTCACAACAATAAAGACCATCCTGTAGTCTGATGCAGCCTACGGATTCGTTATATACCTGAGGGCCCGTTTAAGTTGTATGTCCTGTGGTATTAATTCGCACATTTTGGGCGCGAAGCCCAATCCGAAGGACTGGATAACCTTGGTTAGCTTTTATGGTGACGCTTGCGCTTTTTGCTCTTCCTCACAAATGAGAACGATGTCATATGCACATTTCTGATCGAGCACAATGAAAAACCGGGGTTTTTGAAATCCTCCAGTGTTCACCTCATTACCTCATCAGTGAAGAAATTGAACAAAAATGGAGGGAAAGGACGACCTTGTTGGATACCACTGCCTGTAGACAAGTTTCTGGAGAACTACCCATACACTCACACGCGCCCCCAAATATGAGAATACAAACAGTGGATGATATCCACCAACTTCTTGGGCATACCCTATTGAGAAGAACCAACCCGTCGACTGAATCAAGCGCACCATTGAATTCAGTGAATAGCTAAATTGTAGTGCGTTTATACGCATGTCGGAGTATGACGATGTGGTCTACATAGCCTCTTCCCGGCCTAATCTTGTTTGCTATTATCGGGTCCTGCTTGCAAGTACCTTCACAAGTCGAAGTAAAATAAGCGGTGCAAAGCCTGTCTAAGACGGAGGTCAAGCTAGCTCTTCAGCGTTTCAGCATGAATTGCGTCCAGTTTATGAAAGTCTGTAATGCTATCGACTCACTCAAGTTATTTGAGACGGTCTCTTTCGCCCAGATGAAAGCAGATAAGTTAGAGGGACACTGACTGGGGATGCACTTCTACCACTGGATAAAACGGGCGGAAGTGATTTAGGACCAGCAGCCCGATGACTGTTGAGACAAAAGTTATTCGGTTATTTCCAAACCTGTTGGAGGTTCCAGGACTGCGTTGCAAATGGGAATCCGGATGAGCAAATGTAAGTGGCCAATTGAATCTTTGTTGAAAGTTCAGTTCAGCATTTGGACTCGAAATGCGGTGGCTTCAGCTGCGTTCGAAGACGATGAGGAGAATATGCGAATAAGAGTCACGCGTTACGAACGATAGTCCTTTCAGTTCATTGGCTTTGAAAATTTCTGTTCTGCAAGGATTGACAGCTACGTAGCGAAGGCGATAGCAGGTGACAAAAGACTGTCGCTGGCTGACACAGACATATCTGTCACGACCGTCAACGATTGGTTTTTTCTGTCCTGTGGTCCCGACCAGGCAGACGGCCGTTACCAACGCGACTGTGTTGACTGGTAAGGACTTTCATGCTTCGCTGTCAGATCATGGACTAACCGCCTCTAAGCCTTCTCCATCGGAAACGAAGCTGTGCGAAGAGGGTTCTAGGAGGCAAACTGTCCTCTGGCATACGAATTACACGGCCTAACATACGTTAGCTGTGGAATGTGACGAGCTGACATATCGAGGGAGAATAGACCTTCCGGTTTACTTCAGGACTACTGGTCTGGTGTTTCCATCATCGCGTAATGCTTCGGAGACACCTATGTTGAAACACAGTAAGCTTTCGAAGGTCTTCCACAGTGTATCCCTGAATCTCAAAAGACGTGTGTATCAAGCTACCGCGCGGGCTATTTCGTTGAATGGCTGTCAGACTTGGTCTGTTCGAGCAGCGGAACTAAGACGTCTTCAGGCATTCGATATTCGTCTCAGAACCATAGCTCACGTAGGTTACTGTCGGTGAATCATCATCATCGTCATTGTCAGCTGTAATAACCGCGTACTTGTCGTACAGTGATTGTAGCTACCACAGTTTCGTTCACCGATGATTCGGAAGAGTGGGGTAGCTAGCTGCGCATTGGATGTGGAAGCTGATAAATTAGTGCGTAAATACAGCACTGTTAAGTGGGGAAATTGGGAAGGGAACTATCCAATGAAAGCAATAGCTTGGATGAATGAGCGCCATTGAAGGCGCGACTGGGCCATTTCTGACAATGTCTCTAACCATTGGTGTGGCCCGTCCCGGGGTCCCCAGCCAGAAGGACGGCAATGACCAACGCAAGTGATTTTACTGGAAGTGGCTTTTATACTTCGCTGCCAAGTTATTGTTTGACCGGCTCTGGCTCTCTTCCACCCTTCACGTGGTTGTGTGAAAACAGCCCGTCGAGGAAGTCGGTCGACTGGCATATGCAGCACGTGGCCAAGTCAGCGCAGCCTATGCAGTGTGACCAGTTCATCTATCAAGGGTGAGTTTTTCTTCCGAATACCATTTGACGTACTTCAGCATCACCAGATTCGGACAATGCTCCTAAAGCATCGATGGTCAAACACCGAAAGTGTTTTGACGTCTTCAG